GGACGGCGACAACAACGACGACGACAGTGATCACGAGACGGGCGCATGCCAATCAGGAACAGGATGACGATGATTCGGAGGACTCGCGAACAAGCTTTGAATCAACGTTGGATTTAACATTTCTGCTGGGGATGCTGGCCCCTGGCTATCACTTATTCATCATGTGTTGCTGCTCCGCGCCCTCCTCCTCCTTGTCCTGGTCCTCCTTCTGCTACTGCCCCTCTTCCATCCCCAATCCTCCCCCCGCTGCTCCTCCAACTCCTGCTCTTTTCTCACGTCTCACTCCCCGTCCTTCTCCTCACTTATTGTTCCTCACTTTCTACGATTGCCCAAGGAAGAAGTACAGAGGATCAGGGGGCATAAAAAGCACTGCGCATCAGAAGGCAGAGGAAGATAAACAGGAGGATGGATATGATAAAGACGATGGTAGTCGTCATCGTGTGGATCTCACTGATGGCGACGATCCACCGATCATGGCGACTGCAATCTATGCCAGCGGCATCGGCGCTCACGGTGACGACGACAACGATTGGAATGACGGCTCATGATGTCGATTGCGAGGGTGACTGCGACAGTGGGCATGCTGGCGACGGTGATGATGACGATGACGACGACGATGATGACGATGATGTTGATGATGATGATGATGGTTCTTATGGCGGTGTTGCCGATGATGATGCTGTCGTCGATGATGATGACGAGGGTCCTGATGATGACGACGACGGCGACGACTACGACGATGACGAATCGGATGAACGGGCGGCCGCCCGCCGCGGCAGAAGCGAACGGCCGGCCGAGGCCGCGGCAAACGCCCAAGATCCACACTGTGGCCTCTGCTGAAAGAAGGCCTGCGCTGCAGAGCTCTTCTCAGCAGGGGCACCCGGGTGCCTCTGCAGAGAGGGCGCGGGTCTGCCTCCGGGATCGTCGGCTGGGCTTGCTGAGACGACGCCCCCCAAATGGAGCTTGTTTCATCAGATCCAGACGACGATCCTAGAGTCAGACCCACTTCCTCTCAGCAGGGGCACCCGGGTGCCCCTGCTGAGAAGACCCCTGCAGCGCAGGCCTCATCTCAGCACAGGCCGCTTTGTAGATCTTAGGCGTTCGCCGCACCACGTCTGCTGAGAACGCGTAGGACGTGGCGAACGCCTAAGACCCAAGGGGCAGGAAGCGCGATCGGAAGCGAAAAGCTTTTGGTGTTGGCTGTATCTTCTGCTGAGATACCGATGCCGATCATGGCCCGGTGCCAGTACCGATGCCGGCATCGGTACCGGCACCGGCATCGTTATCGATACCCGTACCGTCAGGCGCAGCGCCTTTCTTAGCACCAACATCAACACAATCCTTGCGGGAATATGGAGGAAAAGGGGGGAGCGGGGAGGGAACATGAGGACGGGAAGGAGAGCCTGCAAGGAGGAGCAAGAGGGGTTGTTGGGGGGGATATGGAGGAGGCAGCAGCAGGAGGACCAGGACAAGGAGGAAGACGAGGCGGAGAAGCAGCACCAACAGACCGATTTATAGCCTCAGTCCAGCATCCCCAACAACGATTTTGAGGCAGGATGGCTCCACATATTGCTGATTTGCCTGCGCCCTTGTCGCCATCACTGTCGTCGTCATTGCTGACATCGTCCTCATTGCCATACTTCTTGCCCTCTCCCCCTCCCACGCATCCCTCCTGCTCTTTCTCCTCCCACTCCTTCTCCTCCCCCGACTCATTCCATTCCTCATTATCCTCGTCGTTATTATTCCCCCTTCTCTTCTTCTCCTCATTCTCGTCATCGTGTTCCTGCTGCTCTTCCCCTGGTTCTTCTCGCCCCTCGTACTCCTGGTTCTCCTCTTCACCCTCCAAGTTCTCCTCTCGCTGAAGATGTCAACATGTACTAACTAAGGCATGGCGCCCCCCCGCCTGAGACTTCCTTCCACATGACTCAGAAATCATGCTCTCGCCTCGGCGCCGGCTAACTGTTCCCTCGGGGCAGGGGCGCCTGGGCCCCTCCTGGGGCACAATTCGGCATCCGCAGGGTACTGTAACAGGTAGCTTGTGCCTGGCCCCGTCTGACTCCTCCCCCCCACCCCTGGGAGCCCAGTTGTGAGGATGTCCCAAGCAAACTGACCGGACTACCTCGCGCGCTGAATCTCGGAGCGAGCCCAGACTTGCGAGGAGGTCTGAAGCGAAATTGGCCCGACCCCAGAGTTCCGAGGATGGATCAGGCGAATCTGGCCCGAGAGCCTCGAGCGCATCATCTCTGAGCCTGGAGTTGCGGGGACGCATCAAGCGAAATTGGCCAAACGACCTCAGGCGCGGCATGTCTGAGCCCAGAGTTGCGAAGACGTCTCAGACGAAATTGGCCAGGCCACCTCAAGTCAGGAGCATCTCGGAGCCCAGAGTTGCGAGGATGTCTCAGGCGAACCGGACCGGACAACCTCGCGCGTCGCAACTTCGAGCCTAGAGTTGTGAGGATGTCTCGGGCGATACGGGCCAGATCAACAGTTCAATTCTGAGACCAGAGTTGCGAGGATGTCTCAGGCGAAATCGGCCAGACCACCTCGCGCGCGGCATCTCTGAACCTGGAGTTGCGAGGATGTATCAGGCGGAACGGGCTGGACCAGCTTAGGTCAGAGTAAATCTGAGCCCGCGCGCGACATCTTGCAGCCCAGAGACGTCGCATGCAAAATCCGCCGGACCACTTCGCACGCGGTCTCTCGGAGCCAAGAGTTGCGAGGACGTGTGAGGCGAGTTTGGCTGGACCACCTCGCGCCTGGCAACTCGGATCCCAGAATTGCGGGCATGCCCCGGGCGACCTGGGCCGGACCAATTCAGGTCAGGGCATATATAGGCCAAGAGTTGCGAGGATGTCCAGGGCGAATCAGACCAACTCAGGTCAGAGCATTTCCGATCCCAGAGGTGCAAGGATGCCTCTGGCGAAAATGGGCCAGACCACCTCGCGAAAGGTATATCTGAGCCAAGAGTCGTGAGGATGTCTCAGGCGAAATGGGTCGGACCACATCAAGCCAGGACATATATGAGCCCAGAGTTGCGAGGATCCTCAGGCGAGCCGGGCCGCACCTCTTCACGCGCGGCATCTAGGAGCCCAGATTTGCGAAGATGTCTCAGGCTAAATTGACCAGACCACCTCGCGCGCGGCATCTCGCAGAGTTGGGAGGACATCTCAGGCGAGAATGTCTGAAGTAGAATTGTCCAGATCACCTCGCGCGCGGCATGTCTGAGCCTAGAGTCGTGAGGATGTCTAAGGCGAAGCGGGCTGGACCTACTCAGGTTAGGGGCATATCTGAGCCCAGAATTGCGAAGATGGCGAAACGGACCGGACCACTTCGCGCGTGGCATCTTGGATTCCAGAGTTGCGAGGATGTATCAGGCGAAATGGGCCAGGCCATCTTGCCCCCGGCAACTCGGAGCCCAGAGTTGCGACGATCTCTCAACGCAATGTAATGCAGTGCCATGGGAAGTGACGCAACAGAAATGCAATGCCATGCGTTGTAATGCAATGCCATGCAATGCAACGCAAAGGCCCTCCATGCAATGGGAACAGACAGTGGCTTCCACTGCGTGAGATGCGGGATAGAGATAGAGAGGGAAAGGAGGAGCACGGAGGAGGAGGTGTAGTTGTTTTTCCAGAGCTCCCCATGCAGCTTGGCATGAACCACTGTGCAACACCAGTAGCAGGAGGCAGGGCTGGCAACAGGATCAAGCAAACGAAGCGCATTTAGCATGCCAGAAGCTCACTTAGCAGGAAGAGGACGCTTTCGGCGACGGCGGCGGCGACGACGACCGACGACGACGGCCGCCGAAGGCCGCCGAGGCAGGAGGAGGAGGAGGAGGAGGAGGAGGAGGAGAAGGAGGAGGAGGAGGAGGAGGAGGAGGAGGAGGAGGAGGAGAGGGAGGAGGAGGTGACAAGGAAGAGTGGGAGGAGGAGGAGGAGGAGGAGGAGGAGGAGGAGGAGAAGGAGGGAGTGGTAGGACGTGACAAGAGGAAGGATGGGGAGGAGGACAGGAGGAGGAAGTGGAGGAGGAGGAGGAGGAGGAGGACGAGGAGGATGACGAGAAGAAAAACAGGACCAGCAGCAGGAGGCGGAGCTGGCAACAGGATCAAACACATCGGGAGCCCACTTAGCAGAACAGAAGCCCACTTAGCAGGAACACGACTTTCCTCCTCCTGCTCCTCCTCGTCCGTCTCCCAATCCTCCCCCTTCAACCTCCACGTCCTTCTCCCTCTCCATTACCTCCGCCCGTTCGCGCTCCTCCTCATCCTCCTCGTCCTGCGCCTGCTTCTCCACCTCCTCCTCCCTCTCCCTTCTGCGCTGTCATGCTTCTGTGCTTGCTAGTCATCCGGATCCGCGCGCTCCTCCTTCCCCTCCTCCGTCTCGAAAGGCCTACTCCTCGCCCTCCCCCCTTTCCCCGCCCCCCTTGGTCCCTCGTCGTCAGAGCCCCCCCTCCCCTCCTCCTCTCCTCTCCCCTTCCTCCTCCTCCTCAGCTCCTCCTACTCCCTCTCTCCCTCCTCCCTCCTCCCTCCTCCTCCTCCTCCTCCTCTCCTCCTCCTCTCCTCCTCTCCTCCCCTCTCCCTCCCTCCTTCTCTCCTCTCCTCTCTCCCTCTCTCCTCCTCCTCCTCTCTCCTCCTCCTCCTCCTCCTCCTCCTTTTCAAGCCTCAGTCGCCTCATCCTCACCCGAATCATGCATGTCTCCTCCGCGCCCGTCCTCCAGAGTTCCCCCCAAGGCCCCGCCCAGGCGGCCCAGCCCCAGCACCGGCGCCCTCGGCGCTCCACCGAGAGGCCCCGCGCCCCCCCGGGCCGCGGCGCCCGCGGGCATGGGCCAGGCGTGCGCTGCTGCGCTCGCGGGGCGGCCTCCGCGGCAGCCCCTCCCCGCGGCGACCCTTGCGGCTGCCGGGTCGGCGTCTCGGGCGGCGCCGGCGCCGGCCCCGGCGGGCGCGGCGGCGGGCGGCCTTTCCGCCCGTGCCGCCTCGCGGGCGGCGGCCGCGTGCGCCGCGGTGGCGGGCGGGGTTGCTCGCGCGCGGGCGCGCTGGCGGCAGGCTGACCGGCGGCGGCGCTGCGGGAGGCATCTGGCCATGGAGATCGACTAGACGTAAGAGTGACCTTTCGCCGGAGTGACTTTTGGTGCGGGCCCAATGGGGTCCCCCGACCACCGAAGGCGATGCGGCAGTAGCGTCTTGAGCGCTTGTGTTCGGTCCCCCCGCGGCCCCCCCAAAAGCCGCGCACCAAAGGTCACTCTTACCCAGGGTCACTCTTGCGTGTAGCCGAGGAGGGGAGAGGTCCTGAGTTTTCGTTTGCCGTCTGTGGCCTCCCTCCAGGCCTCTCGACATCTTCAAGTGGTGTCGAAGTAGATGGTGTCGGAGGGGCCCGCCGCATCGCCGAAGCATCGGCGATACGACACGACCTGGAGCCCGTTCTGATTCATCCCGCTGTCGCCGATGCATCGGCGATGCATCGGCGATGCGGTGCGCTCCTCTGACCCCATCTGCTCTGGCCCCTTCTGGGGTGCCTCCACTCCCGGGGCTCTCCCTGGTCGCCGCCAAAAATGGTCCGGGATGAAGAAATAGTTCTGGGTAAAGCTTCAGGGTCGAGGATCCGTTTCCCTCAGGACCTCTTCCCTCATGGGTAGGCACGCCACCGCGGTAGAGCAGTTGATGCAGGCCGGCGGGGCCGAAAGCATTCCTGTCGAGCGCTGCCGGAATATCGGCATCGTAGCCCATGTCGACGCGGGGAAGACGACGCTGACCGAGCGCATCCTGTTCTGCACGGGTCGGGAAAGCTTTTGCGGAAACGTGCGCGAGGGCTCGACGGTCATGGACTGGATGGAACAGGAGCGAGACCGGGGCATCACCATCACCAGTGCCGCCACCACCTTTCTATGGAACGCGCACCGGATAAACTTGGTCGACACGCCTGGCCACGTCGATTTCACCATGGAGGTGGAGCGATCCTTACGGGTCCTGGACGGCGCCGTGGTGGTGCTCGACGGAGTCAGGGTTAAGTCTGAAGTGTCCTTCTACTGTGGGAATATTCATAACTTGTCAAAAATTATTCAGGGGACGATGGTTTGAATGTTATATATATGTATAAATATACATACATACATACATATATAAATATACATATATAGAGAGAGGCATTTTCTGGTATCTTCATTTTTGTTCAGAATCTGTCTCTAGAACGACATGCCCGACCGAAAGTTCGGGGGGCCACATGCGAAATCGACCCCTACCCCCACGATTTCTGAGGCGGGAAGTGAACCCCAGCCTCCCCCTCCTCAGAACTCGTGGGGGGCTATATAGGGGCAGGGTCCGCACGTGGGCCCCAGGAGTGGCTGGGGTGGAGCCGCAGACAGAGACGGTGTGGCGACAGGCCGACAAGCACCGGGTGCCGCGGCTCTGCTTCGTGAACAAGATGGACCGGGAGCACGCCGACTTCGACCGGTCGGTGCGGGCGCTCGAGGACCGGCTGGGCGCCAGGGCGCTGCCGGTGCAGCTGCCGATCGTGGGCCCCGCGGGGTTCGGGGGCGTCGTGGACCTCGTGGGCATGAGGGCCGTGAGGTGGGTCGGGCACGGCACCTCGTCCGCGGCCTCCGTATCGGACAGGGTGCCGGACGAGCTGCGGGGGCGCGCCGCGGAGCTGCGCGCGGCGCTGGTGGAGGCAACGGCCGACAGGGACGCCGGCGCGCTGGAGGCGTTCGTGGAGGGCCGCGAGGTGGGGCCCGAGCTGCTGCGGTCTTGCCTGCGAGACGGCGCCCTGTCCGGTGCGTTCGTTCCCGTGCTGTGCGGCTCGGCACAGCGGCACGAAGGGGTGCAGCTGCTCCTGGATGCGGTGGTCGATTTCCTGCCGTCCCCGCTGGACCGGCCGCCCGTCACGGGCAGAAACCCGAAGAGACCAGAGGAGACCGTGCTGCGACGCGCTGGACCCGACGAGCCGACGGCCTGCCTGGCGTTCAAGACAGCCCTGCTGCCGGGGGGCGGCGTGCTCACCTTCCTCCGAGTATACTCGGGCAGGCTGCGAGCCGGCACAGTGCTGGGGAACCCGAGGAACCGCAAGAAGGAGCAGGTCGAGAACGTGTTCCTGGTGCACGCGGACATGCACGAGGAGATCGGGCAGGCCCGTGCTGGCGACGTCGTGGCAGTCGCTGGCCTGCAGCACACAGCGAACGGCGACACGCTCTGCGACATGAGGAGCCCGATTGTTCTCGGAGGGCTCGACCTGCCAGAGCCCGTGATCACCGCCGCGTGCGAGCCCGAGACGCAGGCGGACGCCGAGCGCATGCCGCGCTGCCTGGAGCACCTGGCTCGAGAGGACCCGTCGTTCCAGTGGAGGTTCGACGAGGATCGCCGAGCGCGTTCCACTACTCGCAAAGTGCCTACTCGCAAACGTCCGAAAAACACATGTCTCCTTCGATGTAATTCATCGTAGATCCCCCGCGGCGGATCCAGGCCATTTGCGAATCGTCATTTTGCGTGTCGTGGAACGCGCTCGTCTAGAGGAGGCCAACCAGACCATCATCCGCGGCATGGGCGTCCTGCACCTGGAGGTGATGGTCTCCAGGCCGCGGGGAGGAGGAGGAGGAGGAGGGGGAGGAGGGGAGGAGGAGGAGGAGGAGGAGAGGAGGAGGAGGAGGAGGAGGAGGAGGAGGAGGAGGAGGAGGAGGTGATGGTCTCCAGGCTGCGGGCAGAGTTCGCCCTGCGCGTCGCCATGTCGCCGCCGCGGGTCGCCTACCGCGTCACGCTCTCGAAGCCGGGCGCCGCGGCGGTGCCCGTCGGCGGCCTCGCCTCGCGGGCGGCGCGCCTCCGCTTCTCCCTGGCGCCCTGCCCCGGCGGCGGCGTGCAGCTGCTCAACGCCGCCCCGCGCGAGGCCCTGACGCCCGAGCTCGGCGACGCCGCGCTGGCCGGGGCGCGCGCGGCGATGCGCGCCGGCGCCGCGCTGGGCTTCCCCGCGAGCGACGTGCTCGTGAGGCTGCACCGAAGTCGGGTACTTAGCCACGACCCTGGTTCAGGGGAGCCGGTTCGTGATTAAGCCCCGAAGCCCACAATTTGGACTGGGATGCCTGAACCAGGTCTGCCGTATAGCTGTTGTTTTTCGGGCGACGGCAGATCCGGTTAGTGGAGCGGGGCGGGGGGGGCGTCCCCCGGTACACATCACTAAACGAGGTCCCACTAAACCCAGTCTTGCCAACGCCCGACCAAAACTCGTCACGAGCAGGTACTTTGGGTCTTTGCGCGGGTGTGTTGGGCCAGCGCCCCGAAGCTCCCGCACAGGCGGAATTTGGACGAAAAATTCAAAATAGTCAAAAAATAGCCAAACGATGTTCAAACATAGTCAATGAATCGTCCCCAGACTATTTTTCAACATATTTTTCGTATAGAGGGACACGCCCGACTTAACCCTAAGCCCCGCTACCACTGGCGGCGCCTCCGGCGCTGCCCCTGGCGAGCTCCGCGCGCTGGTTTTGGAGAGGTGTGGGCCGCGGAAGAGGCGTGGGGAGTCCCCAAGTTCAGCGGGCGGAGAGCGGTATAACATAAACTTTTCCGCCGTCGGGGACGCCTGCCCTTGGGCGGCTGGAAAGTTTATACCCCTACGTTGCCACCGTAAGGGTAAAACTTTTCCAGCCGCCCATGGGACAGGCGCCCCCGACAGCGAAACATTTTATGTCACACGGTTCTTCGCCCGTCAACAAGTGGGGAGGGGTGCCCAGCGCCGGCCCAAGACATCCGCGCGGACCCTCCAACATTTAACTGTAAGTCGGGCGTGTCCCCGGAGGAATCTGCAATGATACCCGAGAAAAAAACAATCTGAATCTTTTTAGGGTTATAGGGCTGTGGGCCTACAATGGGGCTATAGGGTTATAGGGCTATAGGGTTATAGGGCTATAGGGCTGAAGGGCTATAGGGTTATATAGGGCTATGGGAGGTTGGAGGGGGAGATCGCAGTGGAACGGAGACCCCCAACCGGGAAATCCTCTCGTTTCGTTCGTGTCGTGCGTGCGGGCGAGGCGAAGCTGCGTGGGCTCGCGAGAGGAATGAACCCGCCGTTGCTAGGGCGAAGTCGTCAAGACAAATGATTATCCCCCGTCCGTCCGTCCGTCCAGCGGTGGCCAGCGGTGTCCCGCGGTGTCCCGTGGTGTCCCGTGGTGTCCCGTGGTGTCCGCCGTTGCTAGGGCGAAGTCAAGATAAATGATTCTCCCCCTGCCCCCCGTCCGGCAGTGTCCTGCGGTGTCCCGTGGTGTCCCGTGGTGTCCCGTGGTGTCCCGTGGTGTCCGCCGTTGCTAGGGCGAAGTCAAGACAAATGATTCTCCCCCGCCCGCCCGTCCAGCGGTGGCTCGCGGTGTCCCGCGGTGTCCCGTGGTGTCCATTGGTGTCCCGTGGTGTCCCGTGGTGTCCCGTTGAGTGAGATCGGTAGTGAGGTCGATAGTGTGAGATCGATACTGAAATCGATATTGCGATCGATACTGAGATCGATGTGGTGCCCCGAGAGGTGTCCCGTGGTGCCTCGTGGTGTCCAAAAAAGTGAGATCGATAGTGATATCGATAGTGAGATCGACAGGTGTCCCGTGGTGTCCCGTGGTGTCCCGTTGAGTAAGATCGATAGTGAGAAATCGATAGTGAGATCGATACTGAGATCGATGTGGTGCCCCGAGGTGTCCCCTGGTGTCCCGTCCCGAAAAGTGAGATCGATAGTGAGATCGATAGTGAGATCGGCAGGTGTCCCGTGGTGTCCCGTGGTGTCCCAAAAAGTGAGATCGATAGTGAGATCGATAGTGAGATCGATCGTGAGATCGCTGTAGTATCCCGTGTTGTCCCCTGGTGTCCCGTGGTGTCTTATGGTGTCCCGTTGAGTCAGATCGATAGTGAGATCGATAGTGAGACTGATAGAGAGTTCGAGAGGTGTCCCGCGGTGTCCCGTGGTGTCCCGTGGTGGCCCGTGGTGTCCAATGGTGTCCCGTTGAGTGAGATCGATAGTAAGATCGATAGTGAGATCGACAAGTGTCCCGTGGTGTCCCGTGGTGTCCCGTCGAGTGAGATTGATAGTGAGATCGATTGAGTCAGATGTTGGTTCCCCCCCCTATCCCCCCCCACAACCTCCTTATCACCCGAGGGCTATAGGACTATAGGGCTATAGGGCTATAAGGCTGTAAGGCTATAGGGCTATAGGGCTATAGGGTTATAGGGCTATTGGGCTATAGGGCTATTGGGCTATTAGGGCTATTAGGCTATAGGGCTACAGGGCTATAGGGCTATAGCGCTATAGGGCTAGAAGGCTACAAGGCTATAAGGCTACCTATACGACCACCCTGCGGGTGATAAGGAGGTTTGGGGGGGGCCAGCAATGGGCAACAGTGGTGAATGTTGTTGTGACAATGCCAGTGGAGATAGTTGCGTTGCCGCTCGCTCTTGGGGGCGTTGGTGTCGAGTTGTTTACGTCACCCTTCCCCTGGGAACCTGCCCAACCTGCGCAACGGCAGCTAACGGCGCCATTTGGCCACAGAAGACTGAAGCGCTGGCAAAGCTTGGCGCAGCCCGCGCCGCCTCTTGCACTATCGATATCAGTATCGATCTCTCTATCGGTCTCACTCAATCGAACTCACTCGATCAATCTCACCATCGGTCTCACAATCGATCTCACTATCGACGTCGTCATCATCATCATCATCATCGCCATCATCAACATCATCATCACCATCGTCATCATCATTATCAGCATCATCATCAACGCCGTCGTCACCATCACAATCATCATCACCATCATGGCCATCATCACCATCAGCATCGCACAGTCGATGTCGCATTCGGTCTCACTATCGATATCACAATCGATCTCACAATCGACGTCATCTTCATCATGATCATCATCATCATCATCAACACCAACATCATCATCGCCATCATCAACATCATCATCATCATCATCATCATTACCACCATCATCATCATCATTATCATCATCATCATCACCATCGCCATCATCATAATCATCCACGTCATCATCGGGACACCGAAGTGACACCGAAGTGACACCAGCGGGACACTGGCGGGACACCGCGCGGCACCGGCCGCCCGGTCAAGCTTCTTTTGCCCCGGCCGCGCCTCAGCCACACGGGACACTAGCGGGACACCGGCGGGACACCGCGGGGCACCGGCCGCCCGGTCAACGTTCTTTTGCTCCGGCCGCGCCTCAGCCACAGGAGACTTTCTCTCGCCCGCCCACGCAGCTTCGCCTCGCCCGCACGGCAGGCACGAACACAAAACCGAAATCGACTTCCCGGTAGGGGGGCTCTCCGTTCCACTTCGATCTCACCCCCCAACCCCCGATAGGGCTATAGGGCTACCGGGCACCCGGGCACCCGGGCACCCGGGCACCTGTGGGCACCAGGGCACCCGGGCAAACCCGGGCACCTGGGCACCCGGGCACCCGGGGACGGCCACGGAAATCGGCGACGAACCTCACCTAACCATATGAATCCGCTAGGATCCCTACAAGAGACAAGCTATGATTGGGAAGAGTAAAGTGCAAATGATACCGGAGAAAAGCCCCAATCAGGGCTAAAGGGGGTATAGGGCTATAGAGCTATAGAGCTATGGAGTTGTAGGGCTATGTACAGCTATTGGGCTATATAGGGCTATAGGGCACCCCCGGGCGCCCCCAGGCACCCCCGGGCACGCCCGGGCATTCGGGCACCCGGGCACCCCCGGGCACGCAGCGAAAATCGGCGGCAAACCTAACCTAACCATAATCCGCTAGGACCCCTACAGAGGCAAGCTCTGACTGGGGAGAAATAGTCAGGGGACGATGTTTTGAGAATTGCCAGTCTATTTTTCAGTATTTTCGCCTGTACCAGGATGCCCGACCTAAATTTCACAGTGGTAGCGTCTTGTGATTTTTTGGGCTCGGGTCGGATGAAAGGGAGGGAATGGGGAAGGGGGGGGTGTACGACATCTGCTGCGTGCAGCTGGTTTCGCCTCTGCCGCCAGGCGCTTCCCTCGACAAGTTGGCGCCCCTGGCGTCGGGAGGCGCTGGGGAAACCAGCTGCGATTCGGCACCCCTCCCTCTATACTTTCGGGGGTGGGCAGAACCCCCCCCCCTGACACCTCGATTCGTGAATTGTCCGTGTTCGGTCCTCGAGAGGGCGCCGCGGCCGTCATTCTCCAGGCTTGCGCCCGCCAGGTTGGGGCCCGAGGTTGTTTTTTTCATTCACGTTTTACTCAATGGGCGCCTCTCGCGTCGGGGGTCGCCGGGGAAACCAGCTGCATGAGCTGATGCGGTACCCCCCCTCTATTATCATGATGTTCCAGCCTACTTTAGCTTTGACCACCAGAAAGAATTCCGAGCACCAAGAAAGTACCGAAACTGGATGGTTTTCGCGTGTCGGGCCCTGGGAGGCGATACTCTCGTTCGAAGCTGCTTCGATACTGTTCGGGGTGCTCGAAGTAATTTCTGGGATGTGGTCCTTAAGTACGATGGGAGCAACAAACAGTGGGGGCGAGCATCAAGAAACCATATGTTTTTCGTCAGGGTGCTTTGGGTTTCTTCGCTCCGCTCGCCGCGCGGTGACTTCCCGCAGCCGCTGAGGAAGCCGCTGCGCTCAGGGTGCTCCGGGCTTCCCCTCAGACGTACCTCGCGCGCGGGCTTTCAGGGCTGGGTTTCTTGCGAGGGTTTCTTGTGGCCGCGCCCGCACTGTAACTCTATCACCCTTTTCGTCCGACCAGATGGAGGCTGGAGGGCGCGGAGGGCTGCGCGGGGCTGCCCGATGGCGACGGTATGGCCCGCGCCGAGGCCGCCTTCGAGGCCGCGGGGCACGCGGCCTGGTGCGCGGGCGCCGCGGCGTGCGGGCCGGTGCGGCTGGAGCCCATCATGGCGCTGGAGGTGGTCGTGCCGGAGGGGCACGTTGGCCGCGTCAGCGCGGACATCGCCTCGCGGCAAGGGCAGGTGCTTCGCGGGAGGGGAGCAAGCAAAGACAAGAACATAAAAACTCGGAGGTCCGCGCGGATTTCTTGGATCGGCGCTGGGGCCCCCTGGCGGCGCCCCCGTCGGGTATAGCCAGGACCCCAGGTAAGGGGACCCAGTTAGTGGTAGGGTCCCGGAGCCCCTGACTTGGCCAGAATCACTAAACCAGGTCTGCCGTAGCTGGTGTTTTTCCCCATATCCTAAGATGGGGTTCTTGTTATTACTTGGACGCCTCCTACTCCTCCTTCTCCCTCCTCCTCTTTTCTCCTCCCCTCCTGTCGGACTTACTCATACTCACACTTGCTCATACTCAGACTTACTCATACACAGACTTACTCATACTCAGATTTACTCATACTCAGACCTACTCATACTCAGACTTACTCACACTCAGACATACTCATACACAGACTTACTCATACACAGACTTACTCACACCCAGACGTACTCATACACAGACTCACTCATACCCAGACTTACTCATACACAGTATTAGTCATACTCAGACTTACTCATACCCAGACGTACACATACACAGACTTTCTCATACACAGACCTACTCATACCCAGACTTACTCATACACAGACTTACTCATACACAGACTTACTCATACTCAGGCATACTCATACTCAGACCTACTCATAC